AAATGCTGATATGTCCATATTTTCCCAACTGTCTAGTTGCAAATGTACATTTTTTCCCTTGTGTGTGCATTTAACCGGGGGAGTTGTCACCTGCACATGCGTCAGATGGCCATAGTGTGTCATTATTTACAAACAAGTGTCTACCCATGAGCCTTTGCGTTTTTAGCGTGTTTTGTTATCGTTGCTTGAAACTCAATTCCCACGCGTTTGCAGGTGACAACCCTCCCACTTTAATTATCACAACAGTATTTTTGACTTTGATGAAGAAACATAGGTAGTGCATCTTTAGCACTTCGCTTGCTGACTTTGTTTTCCCCATTCATGCGTCAATCCATATAGGTTTTCAGCAGTCGTTGTGTTAATGGATGATTTTTGTGCTGCAGAGATAATAACATTTGCCAACACGTATAGCTTATTTCCCTTCAATCATTTGATAGGTTAGATTCTGTAAATATATCACACCTGTTGTTTGTGTGTCTAGTATAATTATACCTCTTATATGGTCATTGTTCAGGTCAGTTGTTTGACACTTGTTAGTGCTTGTTCAGACACTGTCCAAAGTCAGGGTCTTATAGATTGATCACTGTGCGTGCATTCGTCCAGACCTATATCATAGACATGCCTGGACTTCACACATACATCATACATAATATTATGCATATACATTTGTTTCATGATCTGATTCAAAATGGCCGAATGGTGGCCATTTTTGTGCTAAAAAATAATCAAATATCAAGCATTTCTGGCATTTATGGATAGATTTCAATCAAACTATGTACATACATTCGACATTATGGGACTTTGATGCTTCTCATTTTGTTTTTCTGATCGCATTCAAAATGGCCTACTGACTGCCATTTAGTTTAAATGAATGCAGTTCTAAAGCCATATCTCTGACATGCTTTGACTGATTTTCAAATTTTATATATTCATTATACATAATTTCATAGATATATTGGTTTGACAATTTGATTCAAAATGGCTGACCGGTAGCCATTTTTTTAATTAATGCTGTTCCAGAGCAATATCTCACAATGTGGACAAGTACTCTTTTCATGATCAGATACAAGATGACTGAATGTCATTCATCTTAATGTTAAAAAAATCATTGTAATCAGCTTCTCTGGATCCATATCTCTGATGTGTTTATGTTCCAACTACATCTTAAATTTGATAACTAAATGGGGACTGTGCCGTGCATGGCTTGCTTTAATTTATAAATATAATTATTTATAAATAAAAGAAAGAAATACAGCCAAAGGTGGATTTCGAACACTCACTTCAGTGTGGCACATAAAAGCTGAATAGGATTCAGATTTGAGTAGTGGTTTACAATGCCATGTGGTAGTATTATAAAATACTTTATTTTTGTTGGAATAAATTTTTCGACAAAGGAATGATTCAGTCAAAATAATATCCGGTGAATATACCTTTTTTCCTATATTTAACATTCAAGTCACCAAAAATCAGTGAAAATAAATTCCATACAAAACACTCTGTCTTTTCAGCAAAATATAATTCCAGCTAAAATAAAGTATTTTACAGTATAAGAACTAATAATTGTACTTAACTGTAACTGCACACTGATTCTTTCAATTTTACAAATTTTGTCATGGTATAAATCTGCGATTGCAACTCAATATTGTGTATTCCAATCACAAGCTTAAATGTACAAGTTCCTCTGATAGTGTTCTTCTGCCATCATTGGAAGTTGTGTATGCCTCTGTGCAATTGCCACCCAGGCTGTGAGAAAATCGTGCAGGTTGACAATAAATGAGTGTCCAGTGAGGATTTCTTGGTGATCTAAGCTTGTGTTGTCAAATTAAATCTAAGCAAGTTTGTATATATTGCAGTTCTTTCATCTACTGGTATTTATGTTACTATATTTAATGCCGTTTCCCATTCATTTTTGCTATTTGTGGTTTGTAGCTGGCAATGTGATAACGCTCAAATATTTAAACATTTTTGTGAATTTGAGAAATTGATAGTAGCAATGTCAAAATCCTAAATGCAACACATGGTCAGCTGAATGCCAGCTAGAATGAATGAGAAAAAAAAATACAGCATCAGCAGGCAGTGTGTTTTTAAATTAAAGTGGGAGGGTCGTCACCTGGGCACTCAAGGGAATTGAGTCCCAAGCAATGATAACAACACGTGCTAAAAACGCAGAGGCTCATGGGTAGACGCTTGTTTATATGGGCACCTGATGTATGCGTAAGTGACGACTCCACCACTTTAAAGCAAGTTATTTGAAATATAAGATTTAAGATATCTTGTTGGTAAATACTTTTTTTCCTCCACATTCAATTATGTTACATTTATTGTATACATTTCAAACAAATGTATAAGGAATGTTGTAATTGTTTACAAACCAGTATAAGAGTTTTGTGAGGTGCGTAATACCGGTAGTAGTCAGTTTTAGTCAAATGATGACAATTTGGGCATGTTGCAGCAATGCATTATGGGAGAGAACTTCCCGTTCTATATATTAAAAAACGAGGACCAGAGCTTTTTCAATAATTGCATTGAATTAGATTGGGCCATTGTAAACTTGTATCACCTTATAGAAAACAGTTGGATAATCTTGTAGTTTCCAATAAAAATTAAAGCTGTAAACAGCATCAAAGGGGTCCAAGTCTTGCAATATGACCAGTTGTTAAATTATTCTCAAAAATGAATGTATTTGGAACATGCATGCTGCAGGCCATCTTTGCCTTCTGCAAGCCATCTTTGCCTGCTGCAAGCCATCTTTGCATGCTGCAAGCCATCTTTGCCTGCTGCAAGCCATCTTTGCCTGCTGCAGGCCATCTGTGCCTGCTGCAGGCCATCTTTGCATGCTGCAGGCCATCTTTGCCTGCTGCAGGCCATCTTTGCCTGCTGCAGGCCATCTTTGCCTGCTGCAGGCCATCTTTGCATGCTGCAGGCCATCTTTGCCTGCTGCCTCGCCATTATACCTTGGCAGAATTCTCAATATTATAAACCTGTATTTACTGTCTACAAAATCAAACAGCACATGCTCTGGTGCTTTTCCATGGTAAATAGAACATGAAGTCTAGCGAAATTGAAATTCAATGAATCTTGGTACATGTATACTATAAGGCAATCCAATAATCTATGGTAATTAGTTTAGAGTTATATCCATAATAATTTCCTAATTTGCATAATAATTTACTTTTCAGCTTTCCACCATTTTTACCTTGCCCGTACCATCAAAGATGGAAGGGAAAGGTATATTAAGGGAAAATTTTTGTCCGGCGTTGTCGTCGTCGTTAATAATTGTTATTGTGTGCATGATAACTTTACTAATTCTATTCCAAACTTCATCAAACTTGGTCACCTTGTTCATCAGTATAAAGTCTTCCCTGAGTTTGAACAACAGATGTCCTGTATGAAAATATCATGCAAAAATTGAGAAAAACTGATAAAATATTTTGACTCTTTCTACTTGACTGATCACTGGTGATACACATCAAAGGTCACTGATCTCAGTGGAAATATGCA